ATAAATATCTATACTTGGATTTGGAGGACTATTATTTGGGGTACAAAAATTTTAAAAATTTCTTTCAACCTAACGGGCTGGCCTTCATCAAAGTCCTCGTATTACATAAATGACTATACTTGGACTTGGGAGACTATTGTTACATGTTTGCACACTTGGGCAACCAACCGGAGCCCACAGTCAATTCATGTCAAACCATGTGGCACTGAAGCCGAGGTGGTTTGCATAGCTGAGGCCTATATATACCGAGGCCCAACTATCATTGCCTCTTGAGGAGCTTCCAAAGCCCATATGTCGATGCCCTTTGAAGGTGGACGAGGCCCTGTTGGCCGAAGCTTTGTAGCCGAGGTAGCAGCCTCCGAATCACAAAGCAATGTCTTCCATAGACGCTTCTCCCAAGAGATCCTCTGCACAAAGATCTTATTTGAATGATTGATATGATGTTTGTTATGAGTGTAATGTTAAGTTTATGAGTGTAATGTTAAGTCTTGTCACTAGTAGAGGCGGCTCTGTCAATCAATAAATGTATAGCAGGCTAGATGCGGTGATGCCTACAATTTGACATGTAAATCAACCGGATGAGGCCACGTGTATTCCAAACCAAAGGTCACGATCTAACTTGTGACACTATAAATACTCCCCCATGTACCCCATACAAAGGCTAATGCAAGAATCAATACAAAAAATCATACTTTACTCAACTCTCTCTTTCTTATTCTCTTGCAACACAAACGAGTTCATACATAGTTGATATACATTTACAAACATCGATTGATAATTATTGAACAATCGATCTACGAACATCCCGCCAAATTTCGAACGTTCTCATCCATCATCGTTGAGCTACTCCCACGCCCTCGATCCATCCGTTTTAAACCGTCCACGTGTCTTAGCGTGTTGGACTTTCGCTCACGTATGTGCGGATGGGTCCGACATCTGTTGACAACACTTTTTGGGGTCAACACGTTCCATAAATGTGGAATTCCTTGAATTTTATACCACATTCATTTATTTAATATTACCGGTAAAGGAGAATTGGTGAGGGTAATTTTGAGTTCCCAAATATGATGTCAAATGAGTTTTAAGAAAATATTTTTTTATTAGTAAAAAAGGTAGTTACTAATTTTGATTATAAAGTAAGAAATATTATCAAAATGTGTAACTTTTTAAATAAAAAATATATATATTTGGAATCAAATCTCTTTAAACAATTTTTTAGCTCAATCAAGTATTCTATTAATTTTTAATTTTTAGCTTTTTGTTGGTTCGACGGTTCACATTATCACTGGCAACAAAGGAATCGATAACTGCTTGGAACACCTGGGAAATCGATATCCATCCCTCTCCATTTGCATCTTCTGGCACCATCACAACTCCCTTCCAACGTCTCTCCCCATACTGTGCTATCATCAAATACCTACTGTGAGTAGTGATGGTACAACATTGTGCGGAAAAAGCTTGAAAAGACTGATTAAACTTGGCGACAAACTCCTCCAACTTGCCAGCCATCCTCAGCTTCTCCACCATATTCACCATCCAAACAACTCCAAATCTTCCCGTGCAAATTGCATCTGATATCCTCGATCCCATTTTGACAGCTTAACAATGCCCGAATCATTAATGGACACTACGAACTCCTTTGCCTCTACTCTAAACTGAGAACTGAAAACCATCAAACCTACAGCATAGGGTTGTTTCATCTGATATTGTGCTATTGAAGAACTGATTATAAAATAGATGGATCTACGAGTGACGTCGCTAGGGTTGATCACCGCTTGCCGATAGGAACGGTTGTCTCTTTGTAGTGTGAGGCCGGTAGTTTTGGTGGGTACGATCGAGGCTTTGAGGATGCCCAGACCGATGGAATTCACTAGTGGTTTGGATGTTGGGGGAGAAATCTCCATCCTAGAGAGGAGATGGCTGTAAATTAATTCTGGACATGTTGAAACTATTAACTATAAACTCGACCCCAAAGAATATCTTTTCTCCAGGCTCTCGGGAAAAGTCAGGATGTTACCTGTATGGGAAATTCTATTATTTCCACACAAAATTCGCGTAGACTATCGAAGCTTATAGCATTGGAGCATTTCTCCCATGCTTTCTGTAAACTGAGACTCGAGCAGGATAAAAATAAAGCTGAAGAAATTCAGGGATAAAAGATTCTCTCTTAAGTTGGGTTTAAGGAAAGGAATTAGCTTTTCTGTACTCCAGTGTTCTGATAACATGATTTGTATCAAGTAATATATGATCTTCTTTATTTGACGAAAAGACTTAATGCTCAGTAACAAAAATAATAGATCCTCATATTGTTTATTAATAATAACTAGGATTTCGCTTCTGAAGGAACACGGAAGTTTTTGGTAAGTCTAATATTTTTTTCATTTTCATTTCTTGTATGTAGCCCAAAATTGCAGCCACTGGTGGATTACTTGATATTAACTGGAAAGTCTGAAGAAGAAGCTTGCTTCTGGTAGCTTGAAGAGTGAAAGAAGATTGCTGGTCGAGCTGAACGAGCATGATCATGGAAGAGTAATGTTGAGAACCTTTTGTCTCAAGGAGGCACTCTGACACTGATCTCTGCATCTGGTTGGTCGAGAACACTTACTTTTCTTCAGAATCTAGAGAGCTTGAGTTTGAGCAGTTTTGTACACTATTGAAAATCACATCAATGTCCCCGTCTTCTTAGGTAAAAGTGAAATCCATCAGTTCAGCGCTCCAACATTTAGCCATATCACTTACACAATCATGCTACAATAACATAATAGTTGACATAATACTAGACATAATATCACGTTGCATCTTATTATTGGACAATTTAAAATGTCAATTTTTTCATGCAATTATCTATTGTCACATACCTATTTGTTAACCTCTCCATTATTTTTCTTCTGTCAAAATAGACAATAGATTAATCCTCTCACTTAACACTTCAAACGACATTATACGTCAATTCTTTTGGACATTTTATATCTTTAGGCATTTTCTTCTGATTTAATTTTATTTGGTGTTCTACCTCCTGAATGCAGGGAGAAGCCTTAAGAAAAACACATGGTAAATGAGAGAGTAAAAACAAAGACCAACTTCCAAATACCAAAATTATGTACAAACTTCACAAGCTGGTACAGTAAGCATCAGACATTACTCTTTTAACAGTATGCATAGAAATTTTCCAGAACTCTATGATGGTAAGATGACTTTATAAAACTGCATTCTACCATCTAACACGGGCATTTTTTGCTTCAGAGACACAAAACTGTCCGCGGTGGAATGTGACCTTACTGGATTACAAAGTATACTACACATCATATACAGGCAAACGATCTTCAATGTAGACACGGCAGATGGGACACTTCTTGCACTTCTCACAACAGGTGCTGATTGACACCATCACATTCAGATGATCAGAAATTTTAAAGATACGTAAAAATCAGTAAATAAACTGAAGGAATACAATTGCAAACAGTTTCAGTATAATGCGCGTAAATAAATTCGAAACAAGTCAAATGATGAATTCATAAGATCAAGATTCGATTCCATCCAAATTTGGGGCAGAAAATTAGTAAAAGACATGAGGGTATCCGAGTTATCTCAGGCCAAAAAGTTAAATAAGCTATTGGAAGTCATGTTCTGTGGTATGTGGTCTAGAGGGTTGCACTCTCCACACTCAGAGCCTTCTCCTGAACTTCCAAGAGAAGTCTTCAAAGGACATAATTGTCCTTCATAATAAATTATGTTCCAAAAGTCATCAATTCTCATTCGATATACCAGTTCTAACCTTATAAATAGACAACTAACTTGTTAGCGATGTTTGATGTCATAATCCTTAATCCTTTAGAAGACAATATCCACTTCCTAACCCCCCCCCCCCCTCTTTCCCCACATTTAAAAAAGGAAAGAGAGAAGAAATTCAGAAAAAAACCTACGCTCTTGTAAATTTAAATTATCAGTTCTATACCAGAGAACCAAGATATTCGTTTAAGTACAATATTATTTACTCATCAGCAGCAAAGGAAAGAAAAAATAAGAGATATTTGAAAAGAAAAGAGACCAGAATATAACCGGTACCTGCAAAGTACATGATGCCTACAAGGGAGTAGAACTACATTTATCTGTTCTCCAAAGCAAATCCTACATAGAATTTTTTCCTAATAAAGCAAGAAATGAAATGAGAAACAATGTTGGTGCCAAAGCTGATGGCTGCAGTAAAGCTTTAGAAAAAAACAAGTATAATCCCTCGTACTGTTTTCTGCGGTGAGAGTCGTACACAATACCAACCAATTAAAAGTAAGAATTGAAGATTGCAAAATTTGATTGTAATGCAAAAAAGGACTCTAGCATAGTTAAGCAATTTTTAATGAATTACTCAGTCAATTTTTTAAATAATTCTGGACAGCAATCCAGTCCCCACTCCTAATTCCGCTCCACATATCCTAGGTACAACAGGTACATCCATTTTAATCTAACATAAATTGAGTTAATCAAGGATTCTCAAAATTATTAATATTGTGTGTACATGTGTGCATGTTCATTTGTGTACAAATTATTATTGCTCTCTTAATGCTCTGGACAGCAATCCAGTCCCCATTCCTAATTCTGCTCCACATATCCTAGGTAACAACGGGTACATCCATTTTAATCTAACATAAAATGAGTTCATCATGAATTCTCAAAATGTAATCTAATAGAAAAATAGAGTATTACATTTTGGAGTCTTTCAAATTCATCCAGGCTAATCTTTGAGATCTCTGTTTGTTCAGCAAGTGCTTCTTGAAGTCTCCATATCTGAGAAAGTTGAGTAATACAGTGGAAACACTCAGTCATGGATTAATCAAGCCTAGAAATTTAGATTATTGGCCCATATGAGGATTACTGGAGGGAACTAGAAGAAAAGCGAGGCATTAAATACACAAAGCAGAAACTGCAAGATAATCACCTCATTAGCAAGATCAGCTTTGGGCATTTTCTTTACAGAATCAGGTGAAAATGTATTGTACCTGTTAACAAACAAATGAATGCGTATCAGCCAATTAAATAAACAGCCATGCTTGCTCAATTCACTATTACACAGTGTCCAATAACTTTATAGCACTAGAACTGTAAGAGCAGCTATTAACGTCGAGCCAAAAATCCAAGGTATATGTAGCTATAAGATAAAAAAATGGTTTTATTTTTCAGTATAACATGTTCTAAATATTGTTAAACTGAACAGAAGAAATATAGGAGACCCAAGAGCAGAGTATGGTGATGTAGATCTGATCTCCTAAACTGGATAGATCTGGGTGCCCTGACATGATGAATGGCCGGCCCAAAGTCTTCACTTTAGATAAAATTATGACTTTGGTCTAGAGCAAAATATACTCCAACTTTCTTTAGAGTCTTCAAAGTTCCAGGCCGACACTACAATCCATGAGGGAATAAGGAAAATGGAAAAAGAAGATACACCAAATGCCCTCTTTGTGTCACTCTGAGGCAATTTTAACATTCTCATTTCTTTGGCAGATAAAATATTAAATCTACATCAAAATCTAACAACTTCCTTTCTAACATACATAGCAAAGATCTAGTCATATTCGAAATCCATTTGGCCCATCCTTTATATAATAACGAGAGAGGTTTTGAGAATGATGACAGATAGGCTTATGACGTTTGAGTTTTACATCAAGTTCAATATGAATTCTATCTTCATCTAGCACTTGAGAATGATAATAAGACAACTCATAATGAAATTGAAGAGTAAATTTGAAACTTAAGAAAAATCTTTTTTGGTTTTGTGGAATGACTTGACGGCTCTAAGGTCTGAAATCCTGATTTCCTTCTGCAAATAGAGAGTTTTCGTTAACCCTTTATAGCCACTGAAAGCTGAAAAATACAGCAATTAGTTCATATTCTTTTCCAGAGTCCAGCATCAGCGGGTGTACCAGGCATTTCTCCATCATAAATATGTTTAATTCTGAAATGAGAACACAATGTTAAGTGAAATTCTGAAAATTTTTAAGGCCATCTGACAAATGTAATTTCCTATGTTTTTCCTTTACTTTCTGTAGAAATTATGATTTGTTTGCCTTAAAAGAGTTTGTTTAGCAAGTCATCAATTTTGCCAATAGAATTAGCACATTACCAACAACCAAAATTGTGGAGTATGGATGACCAGAACATAATAATGAAGTCATCTTACACACTGGTATTACTGAAGAAAATGTCTCTAAACATCAATTTAGAGAACTAACCCCAATTCCCCGGCACAATATAACTGAGCTTGTTCCTCTCGACTTCCTTCATCAATTGACCACCAACCAAGGAACCTGATATGTGATGTAAAGCACATGCATTAAAAACAAAGCTCGTGCATTGTTGGAGGGAGTACAGGTTCATCCTTGAAGAAATTGACAATCATTACCTAGATCCATGATGCAAAAAATCAAAATAATCACGGACGCTTTGTGATATCATAAAATGGCTTCCGGTATCACCTTCATGGTGTAGAAAAAGAATGATTTTCTCCAAAAGCCTAAAAATAGCAAACAAAAATCCAGCTCCTTGCAGCAGGAGGAGAGGAGAAAACAAAACTGGAATTGGAATATGTTTAGCACCAGGTGGTGTTCCCTGAAATTTAAAATATGACGCTGAATTTAATTCTTAAAAATACATGTCAGCATCCAAATCAGAGATTGTCATAACTGAACATACCTCTAAGTGCATGAATAGCATCAACTGAAAAACAACAAAGGGAATTTTCATTATATGCCCACCAATGTCTTGCAAACTGCATACTCTATTCTGTTGATCTTCATCTGAAAATGCCATCATACTGCTACTAGAGCTAAGATGTCTAACACTTGGTGCCGATGAACCGGCTCTCGTAAGATGAGAACCCCTATGAATTGCAGGATTATACCACTTTGTGCAAATAAGAAAGGCGAAGCACTCGGCAACACTGAAAAGTGAATGCTACTTATTGAAAATGCAATACACAGAACCTTGACATATATGTAGATGAATACAGATATAACTAAAAGAAAAAAAAAATCTGATGTACCCGTAGTTGATAAATAGATCCCACCAACCAAGAGCAGCAACATCACCTACATATAATTGCAGAGTGATGGGGGTGGGGGTTGGGATAGAAAGTACACACCGTTGAGACAGTAAGAGCATAAACTCTTCCATTTTGACTTTAAAAAAATCAATCCACAAATCTAAAGCAGCTAAAAACTTTTAATATGAATATATTTTTCTACCACCTCCCAACCACAAATAAAAAAATGAATGCCCATTTTATGTGTACCATTTGTTTCTAGATATATCAATTTGAAATATCAAGTTACAAAGATGAAAGAAATTTTCTAAGCTGCTACATTAACATCATAAATCAGAAATCGGGCTGTTTTCTTCTAAGAAATTGTAAATCCAACATGATTCTCTAGTAAGTTAATAACTGGCCTCAAAATATACTTGAACTATTGATTATAGAAGAATGGATAAAATTGTTTGGAGAAGTTTTTACTTGTTTTGTTTGAAGACCATGGGGCTCCAACCATCTTAGAAACTTTACTTACATGGGGAAACGGCAAATAATCTCTTCCTACATTGAGATTGCAGTGAAAATGTGGTGGACGAACTTCTTGCTCATTTGCAACACATACGGACGCTTATTATTTTCAAAGCTAATTTTTGGGCATGCCATGCGTGCAAAGTGTTAATCTTTTGAATATGGATCACATATGGTCTACATCAGGTTGCTTGATTGGGTGAGAGCTAAGTTTGGCAGCGAAGAACAAGAGATTAAAGTGATAAGTCGAAAATCTAGTGACGAGAGATATCTGAGCTTCATATTTGATATCTAAAAATCCTCATTGTGAAGTTGAAATTTTGTATCTGGAACAGAGAACGTTCATATGTTATACATCCTATATAGAGATGTTCATAATTCTTTATCCACTTTATGACCGAAGAAGATATTCATTTCGAAGTAGAGCAAACATTTTTTACAGTTCATCAATGGTAAGAAAGATTATTTTGATGGTCTAGAACTATGCTGGTCAAAAGATATATGTTGATTTAACGGCTGAAAAATCAAAGGATAGTGGATTTTGTGAAGTCCTATCGTAGGGAAGCCTTAGATCGCCGGTGTAATTTACAAGGTTAGTGGCGATATGAGAACTCCTATAAATAACGTTGATATGCCAGTTGTGTGGATTGAAGTTTTGGCATCACCCAATTCACCCTGGAGATCTTTTTTATTTTTCAAGATGGTGAGATTGAAAGAAGGATTTATTTTCTCTAGTTTGGCTTTAACTTAGGTTTCTTTTGTTGACTTCTGTTAATTGAGGATCTCACAAAATATTTGTGTTAAAACCCCTTAATGCTTGATTATCAACGTAACTCCAAAAAAAGAACATGCTCCAATTCGTCCAAGCACATAAAATCATTTTGTGCTTGCCTTCTTTGGATGTTCATACCATTCATTATTTCCATTTCTTGCCATCTAGACATTCTTAAACTAGGATTATATTAATCCCATGCTTGTTAAGTGGCTTAATGTTAACAGAATCAAATATATACTGATAAATCTCGACATGATTATAAGATGAATTTACCGCATAGCTTCAGAAGTGTAAACGTTGTTGCAGCAATGAAGAAGACCATAGAGATTGTAACCCAAAAGTGCTGAAACATAAATTGTTAAATTCAGGTAATCAAGTGTAATGAACAGTGATTACAAGTCAGTAATTAAATGTAATGAATAGTGATTAAATGTCCACACCAAACAAAACTATGCACATAGAATTTGTTGCATATTTCCGTAATATCATATCTCTAATGAATCATGTAGAAACTGAAGGAAGATTATACGCGAAATATTTTTTCCGCTTTGCAATTTCTGCTGTTTTATTCTAGCCCAAGACAGCATAACACTCAATTTGTCAGTTTGAGTTTCACCATCCATTAAATATTGTAAACAATTGAAGAGATAGCTTTGTTTTACAAACTGGCAGTATATTAATACTGAATGCAATAGTACATAAAAATATTTTCTTGATCTAACACGGTTCTACACGTGTGGGTGGGTGGGTGTGGGAAAGAGAGAGATTCTGACCATTAGAAACACGATATGAAAAGGAAAGTAACAAAAATCATGGGCCAAGCTTCTTGTTCATATCAAAGAAAGCAGATACGAACACTTTAGAGCTTTATAAACAGGTCATCTGATGTTTTTAGAAAGTTTGAGGTACAAGGGACTTTCTCATAAGCCTTGAAGCGCACAAAATTGTGTGGACCAAAATGCACACAAAGGTTGCTAGTTCACCACATGTTTTCTTTACACCATATCGTTATAAGTGAGTTTTTTAACCAAGCAATCAGCTAAAAGGACTCAAGAAGTTATCATCTTCAAATTTTGATGATTACTCTTCAAAAGAACGAAACACTAGAAAAATAAAGGTAGATAGAAATAGAAGAAAGAAACTTACTGGAAGAGTCTCCCATATAGCCTCATCGGTGATGCATTCATCATCTCCAGGCATAAGTGCCCTACACATCCTTAATCGTAGAAAAACACAATTTAATAACTTGCCATCATAGTCATTGGATAGCTGGACTGATCTTTCTTATTCAAATAAAGCTTCAAAACTCAATAGAAGTTGGGGAGCAGAATGGCATTTCAATTTCTTATAAAGACAAGTAATCTTACCTAATGTTATCAACCAAAATTGTTGTTTCTAATGCCAGCAGAGGAAGAAAAACTATCTTCAAATTTACATCTGCCGTTGATCATTAAATAATTAAACATGTTAATAATGCTATACCAAAGATTGATGAGTGAGGCATTAAATGAAGTAAGATAGATTAGTGGAATGGATATCTGTTGAGCCTACAACTTATTATGGGATTATCACGCAGAAGGCAATAGAATGTTTACCGTATCTTCTCTCAAGGTGCACACAAAGGAGTAGTTCAAAAGCAACGAGCAATGGTGTAGCCACGATGGCATGAAATGGTGCCCACTGTTCATGGAAGAGTACCAAGTTACTCTTACAATTACGACAAAATTACCATATTAGACAAAATTAAATAAATAAATTACTGTCCCGTGAATTAGTTATATTAAAAATCAGATTGATAGATTGTCATACATGGCGACCATGAGGCATTGATGGAGCAGGCAAGGAGAATCTACCCCTTGCCACAACTGCATGAAATAACCAGAGTGGAGAAAATATCAACCTACGAAATTAAAGCAAATAAAGCATCAATCTAAGGATGGTTACATGCTTATGGCTGTGTAAAGAATATTGAGCACATGTTAGTTAATGACGTGTTGATAGACAAGTTTTGAGATGTTATGTCTTGATAACTATGGAAATTTGTAAGACGACGAGGTGAATGTGGTCAAAATTTTAACTGAACTAGACAAAGAGTAATCTCGTGATAGAAAAAACTGAGTGCCATCGTACACAATTGCTATAATAAGAAGAATAGCACATTTTAAGGAGAAAGTGGTTTACTCCAATATATGCATTCGACTTTTATAACTTATATCTGGGTCATATACCATCCAAGCTATGATGCATGCTGGAAAATAGAAAATTATGATTCAATACTAGACATTAGCTTCAAATGTATTAATATGTTGAAAGTCGATTTTGCAGAGTTCAAATATAGTAATGCACTGCACTGGGTAACAGCCCAACAAATTTCTTCTAGGAAACTGATAGGATGCCAACCAAATAAGGGGCAAATCCAAATGGAACTGACGCCTGAAAATTAGACACATCCGATGGACATAGAATTCCTGATTTCTCTCCTCAAATTAAATATCCAATACTTTTTTATCACTTGCGCATTCATGAATGCTCTCTTGATCCCATTGTCTCTTATTATGATAAAATGCATACTCTATCTGTAATAGGCAGGAGATTCAGAATAAATTAACATTTAATTTGATTGACAAATACCATCACTACGTCATCCTAGGGAAACAAAAAAGTGCACTTAAGGAAGGAATATTCTGTATGCTCCTTCCCGCCATTTAAAACTTGAACTATCCACTATTCCTCAGTGAAAATTCAAAAACAGTGATTGTACATTGCAATTCAACGGACCAACAAAAATCCAGTCCAACAGCACTAGGCTGAAATAAAGTAGCAAGGAGATGAACCCCTAGCATTCTACACGAGCAGACGGACAAAAACTGAGGAAAAAGAGATGGCAGACTTCAATTTGATGCAGATCAATCATTTTGAATGCTTTGGGGAGCATCATGGGGGAACAACATAGAAGGGTAACCAAAAACACCGCAGAGTTATGATTTTCTCCCAACTCAGATTCGTGGGTGGGACGAGGGTGAGAGCTGAGCACGCACACTATGTTGTTAAATACAAATCAATAAGGCAATTGCTAACCATCACGGCAGTACTGCATCACATGTAACAAGTTCTTGTCCAGGCTATATGGAGGTTACATGAAATGAAAATAACACAGCTAACTGTACTTATCTACTCAGTTTTTCTTCATGCTAACTTCCTAAAATCTTTTAATTTACAACTGGAGTAGGTTAATTGTCATCAAGACCTCATCCTCGACAATGCAAGAATCACCAAATCAATTGATACAGAAATATTATCTATTGTGTATATAAACACGAGTCAAACCACCATACCAACAGCATGTTAGTATATTGAAATTAAAATCAAACACAAAATTCATAAGCATCTGTCATAATCTAATAATCCTGAACCACACTCAAGGAATACCAGCCTAAAAATAACATCTTTTCGAAACACCTGCATATATCACGTAGAAAAAACATCACAATCAATTATCTTCTTTGGAAAATGTAGAGGTTTGCGAACACCCCCCCCCACCCCCCGAAAAGCAGAAATCTTTACCATAAATAAAGAAAATCCCAAATTTTCTTGCTCAAATTGAGTAACATATAAAACCACATTCATTAAATTAAACTAATTTCCTTATTCTGAAATTTTCAGTCCTAGCAAACCATTCACAAAAAGAAGGCCAAAAAAGAAGAAAAGAAATACAAACCACCAAGAGTAATTAACAGCACGGCAAAGCTTGAGGCTAAGAAACAAAGTGAAAGAAAAAGGCAGCCCATGAGCCACCACCGCTTGCAGTGACTTGAAAATTCTCCTCCAACTCATCACCATCTTCACTGTACGCAGAAAACACAAAACCAAGTGCACCCTTCACAGAAGTATACAGTCCCTCTGCATGTATATATGTATGTATGTAATGGTAGATTTTTTTTTTATTTTTTTATTTTTTGGTAAAAAGGTTAAAAAGAAATTGCAGAGATAGAGAGAGATTCAGCGAATCAATTCTTTTTGAGGAAAACAAATTGAATGCTGTGCCATTTCTAGCTGTTATAAATTGATGAGACCTATGACTTTCAATTTATTCGTATGTCGCCATTGTAGTTGTTCTGTTAGTGGCTGCGCCGGAGGCATTATGACTTGGTTGAAATGTCGAAAACGCCATTCTTTTGAGAAAATTACGTATGGGTTTCCAATGTATACAAATAGTGCAAGTAGGTCCTTAAGTTTTTGTATTATAGATTCTGGACCATCGTGTTATAATTTTTGGTCAATTCTGCTTACATGTAAATTGATTTTGTACAGACACATTGATCATCGGGTAACTGAAACCGTAACTATTGCATTTTGCTTTATGGTTTCCTTATTGTGGGCATTGATAGATACTGCACTCACTGCAATGTGAAAGTTTGAGAAAGAATAAGTAATATATTCTACTAATATATTCTTTACAAAATATAATCAGGCAATTAATTGTAAACACTACGGTTCGAAAGTTCAAGAAAGGAAGTGTAGTCCTTATTTGATTTAGTTAAAAATCACATTTTTAATAAATTTTGATAAAATATTGTTTAAAAATTAATAAAAGATGTGGATCATATGAATAGTGTAATTGAAAATAAATTTTAAAAAATATGAGCCAAATATGAGCTATATACTAATATATCTGGGTTTATTACGCTAATGATCACTCGAATTAATTTTCACAATAATAGTTACTCAATATTCTAATCGTTATACTAATGGTCAATCTATAAAAAAAAATTAATACTAAAACCTACTTGACATTGTTGTGAATATATTACCACAAGTATATGTTATCATAATGAGTAATAAAGTGAACAAGAAAAAGTAATATAAAAACAAAGAGTTAGGATCTTATTTCTACAAATTGAAAGATGATGAGTAAATTGGGGGTATTTACGGCATTGGAGTTTTGTTGACTTTGGTTTTAAGCAATTTTACTTTGGGGGTTGTCACCCAAGAATGCCCCTTCTATTTTTATTTTTCTTTACTTAAGTACTATGATCATGTTTGAGCTGTATTCATTTAAAAAAAAAATACATTTTTAAATAGTAATTTGACATTATTTCAATTACACATTCTTCAATAAAATAATATAACATACAAATTCAAAACTTTTTCTCAATTTTTAATCGCACATTCTTTATCAATCTATTATTCTAAAATACGTTCTTTCAAAATAATGTGACTCAACACACTTAATATAAAAACGAAGGGTAAGGATCTCATTTCTACTAATTGAAAGATGATGAGTAACTTGGGGGCACTTATGTCATTTGAGTCTTGTTGAGTGTGGTGGTAAGCAAATCTTTCTTTCTCTTTCATTTGAATTTTATTTTTTTTTTAAATATCAAAGTATCCCAGCTTACACCAGACTAAATTCTGGATCCTCAAGATCCTTGCCCCTAGAACTTTGGAGGGGGTAAATCGCGGGTTATGCCTCAACTGGATCACAGGTTCACCCCATTGTCTGTACACTTCTGCGCACAAGAGACTCTCCTCCACAGTGATTGCTCCATACCAAATTTTTGGCCGCAAGTTCCCACCAGGAATCGAACTCTCCACCCTGTCGCTGGAAGCAAGACAATGTTAATTGATCCACCAATTGAACTGTGCCTCGGGGGCATCTTTCATTTGAATTATGCTTGTACATAAGGCCTTGTATGAGTTGTATTCTTTCAAAAAAAATTCATTCTCAAACAGTGATCCGACATCATTTCAATCACACATTATTCAATAAAATAATATTACACGCAAATTTAAAATTTTTCATCATTTTTTAACTATACATTCTATATCAATCTAATATTTTAAAAAATATGGCTCAAACCCACACAATAAAAACGAAGGGTAAGGATCTCATTTCTACTAATTGAAAGATGATGAGTAACTTGGGGGCACTTATGTCATTTGAGTCTTGTTGAGTGTGGTGGTAAGCAAATCTTTCACTCTTTCATTTGAATCATGCTTGTACATAAGGCTCTGTTTAAGTCGAATTCTTTCAAAAAAAATTCATTTTTAAACAATAATTTGACGTCATTTTAATCACATTTTTTAACAAAATAATATTACACTCAATTTAAAATTTTTCATCATTTTTTAATTACACATTCTCTATTAATTTATTATTTTAAAATATATTCTTTCAAAATAATATGACTCAAACACAGTCATTGTGTTTTGTTGCGTGTCCCACTTTAATACTAATTGGAAATTTGTATATAATTTATTTGTGTGAGGGAGCGATGTGACATTTAAAAAGCCAACGAAAAAGAGGGTACAGCGACACTTGGATACCTAAACACGTTTTTTGATAACGTTTCAATTGCCAAACGCTTTCGGTGCTCTACACCCAAAATAATCTTCCCCAGGTCCCCACCTCCACCAAATTATTCATTCCTTAATTCTCAAGTCTCTAGTCAACAGAATAAAGTAAAGTCATCAAGTTTAACTTTAATTAAATGGTAAATGAAAGTGTAACTTTTCTAGATGAAATCACAATTTTCATTTTTTTCTTCTGGAGAATTCAATCTTGATATTTTACCACATCAATAAAATAATATATCTTCTTCAGTTATTATTTCATTCCGTCACCCCTCGTGAAAATAATTAATGAATATTTCGAAAATGACATTTACGTCATCCACTGACCTTATCTCTTGGAACTTTAGACCATCTTCAATGAAGAATCAAATATCAAATTTAGTATAAAATGCTCTTCAATAAGGGATCAAATATAGAGTAAAATTTGATATGAAGAATGGTACCGAATTTGGAAATTTTCATTTTTCCCTTCCTTTCGCTTTACAACAAATGTTTATTTCATCTATATCCATTTTTTAGATTTTAGAATTAATAAATTTTAATTGATGTATAATTGTTTTTAATGTGTTGGTTATTTTTATTTAGCATTTATTTTTAAATTTTAATCAATCAATAAGTAATAATCATTGATACAATAAATTTCATTAAAAATAATTTTTTAATTTATTAAAAACAATATTTTAGTTCATTAAATATAATTTTTAATTTAACAATTTTAGTAGTAATATAATTTTAATTAAATAATTTAAAATAAATTTTGGCGTAAAACCGTATTTATTGATCGACATCAAATTTGATGTAACTTTTTACACCAAATATTGTGAGTTTGGCATAACCGTTAGAGATGCTAAACTAAATTACACCAAATTTGTTGTTTCTCACTGGAAATGCCCTTAACCTTGGGAAATTTTTTTAAGGGAACAATACATGTATCGGGTGTTTATCATACACATTTTCAATTTAAAAAAATAAATTTTAAACATTCAAATACATATATATATATATATATATATATATATATATATATATATAATCTACTAAGTACCGGTACTTAGCTTAAATGGTGTGCATAATGTTGACCCCAAAAAGTGCGCCAACAGATGCCGGTGCCACCCGCGCTTGCGTGGACGAATGTCCAACACGCTAAGACACGTGGACGGTCTAAAACGAGCGGTTTAAAGGGGCGTGGGAGTAGCCCAACGACGAGGGACGGTGACGTTCGGAATGAAGTGGCACGTGACCTCATCTCTTTAGTTCAAACATCTTTTCCTAGGTATGGGGTTTGACTTGCTAGCTTGCGGCGCATTTATTGCTTGTGCAGGGCCTCCATGTTAGTGACAAGACTAGACCTTTATGCTTATGATAAACGTTCCATCAATCATTCGAATAAGATCTGTGCATGCGATCTCTTGGGAGAAGTGACCATGGAGGATGTTTCCTTGTGGTTAAGAGGCTCGTGCATCAACTTCGGGGCTTCGCCCATTTGACAAATACTTCCACTTGAGGACCTCAGCTACATCCAACAGGTTCCATGCCTCGGGTCATGGGCCTCGGCTTGAAGCACTTCGGATATAACCCACATCGGCAATGTGTGCCACCTCGGCGGGAATGCCACGTGGATCAGGATGAGTGGGCCATTGGCCCAGGTGGGTAGGACAGGTGTGACAACACGCAACAATAGTCCCACAAGTCCAAGTATAATCATTAATGTAATGCGTGGACTTTAATGGAGTAAAAGTTGAAAGAATTTTTGAACCCCAAATAATAGTCCCCAAGTCCAAGCATAGATATTTATATCATGGTTGGAGTTTGAGAAGTGTTGCTGTGGGTGAATGATGAAAAAGCCGAGGTGGTTGAATAAACCGAACCTATGAGGCTTTGATGCTGAATGCCGAAGAGGAAGTCGAGGTGGGTGAGAAACCGAACCTAAATGGCGAGGAGGAAGCCAAGGTGGTTGAGGAAACCTGACCTGCGAGGCTTTGATGCTGAATGACGAAGAGGAAGCCGAGGTGGTTGAGGGACCGAACCTGCGAGGCTTGCCGAGGTCCAATGGTAATGATTGTGCATTGGTCGCTGTGCCAATGATTTGATGTTTTGTGCTTGTTTTCGAGGAAAGGTAGCTGAACCGTTACGACTTCCAAGGCGCTGGCGCCGTCGAATTAAAAATGCAATTATGAGGGCAGCTGGCGTTTCTAGAAGCAGACGCGTAGGATTCAACGCCTCGGATTGAATCTGAAATGGAGGGCTCGGATTGACTGAGATTTGATCTGACGGCTGGGGTTCGTCTTAGACCTTTATAAAAGGCGAGAAAATCCCAATTTTCAGGATTTTTGAACACTTTGCACTCTCAAATTCTCTCAAATCTCCCATTTTCCGGCGTCGAGGTTGTCTGTGATTAAATTTCGACCAGTCTCCATTTGTGTTGAACTCGTTTAGGTATTGTTTGCATAAAAAACCATTGTTATTGTCATTGTACTGACAAAATGGAGTTCACTTCGGGTAGGGAGCTTGTTACAGTGGCGTCTTTAGACCATGGGGTAGGTCATGGGGGGATGTCCGAGGTGGATAGGTATGCCATGGCCGAGGAGGCTGTGGATTATACCCAGGAGTGGGGGGCTTCTAGAGTGCCCTTGAATATGACGGGGAAGAGGTTGGGGGAACTTAGGGAAAGGTACAGTGTGCCTCATAACATAAAGATGTTAGTCCTCGAGCCGAACGAGCGGGCCT